TTTAACTTAAAGTTCTACAGACAAACATTTCCGGAATATCTCACCCTCACATGAGCAAGATTACATGAGAATTATCCGGCGTAAACATTACAACACAAGTTATTAAGCGATCTGGCAGCACAGAGCATTCGCTGCTAACATCTTTACTGTGAAACATTAACCTGAGCAACATGTGCACACTCTAAATCACAGGTGTCAGACTCCAGTCCTGGAGGGCCGGAGCCCTGCACATTTTTGGGTTTCCCCTCGTTTAACACACCTGATTCAACTTCTTGTGCTAATTACCACATAGCGGTTGAGCTGAATCATTTATGATGGAACAGGGAAAGAACTAAGCTACACAGGGCTGCGGCCATCCAGGACTGGAGTTTGACACCCCTGCTCTAAATAGTTTAAACACCATCGAACCTCACTCGTAATCAATAGTTACAACTTTATCTTATGGACGCACACAAGACCTGATGACGATGATAATTAAGAACATTAACAGCCAATGCATGAAACCCGAACTCTAAAGAAGATGCCCGCGACTCACTTCCGAGGGGGGGGCGAAGTAACACTTTAAAGGTCCCGGCGCAACAGCACTTAAGAAATTTGTTCCTATCTAACAACTACAATACAAACTGTAAGCATTCTTTAAGTATGAAACAGTTCAGGACATTGTCACCTGCACCGGACGGGCACGTCTCCACATAATTATAACTTTAGATTATATTTCTGCATGACTGAGTACCTGGCAGTGTTGGGTGGTACCGACATCTCGTATTTACAGTTTATATCAGTCCTCAAAGTGTTTAGATAATTAAGGTTGGTCTTGGTTGTTTTCTTGCCTAGAGGAACAGAAGTTTGATGCCATGACGCCACAGCAGCACAACAGCTGTCAGTACGGTGGAGGTAAGATTTTGAAGCGTTCATCAGCCTGTCAGCCACGCATCTCGCCTGGATACGGGATTCAGCTTTTATTCTTCTGTAATACTCCCTAAGTCCCTCACTCTGCACAATCTCAATACCGTTCGGTAATAAATAAATCATTGTCACTGACCACCACAGATTATGGAAATTAAATGGCAAACATGATGCAGACATATGAAATACAGTGTGCTGTTTGCAGTAAGTTAGGCTTAGGGTTAGTAATGGGGCTTTTTCCACTGACTTCTGCTTCTCTGCCTTTTCTTCACACTGCTGTTCAATTGTCCTCTTTATAGGACGGAGGAGCAGCGCAAATGCAGCTAACAGACGTAAAACCATGTGCTGGCAGCAGACACTTCGCACCCCTTAATAGCGGATCTGTTGCTGGTAAGACTGTCTGGCTAATTTAAAAATTCACTTGTGCTCCTTCATTGCTGAGCATGAGATGTCATTTACTATCGCTCATCCACTTGTCACATTATGTAAGAAATTAGCAGAGGATAAACCCGCCCTCGCACATCTGTCTGTCTCAAGGCAGCATGCGATTAATCTTGTCACACACAGCATCTCGCCAGAGTTAAAAAAAAAAGTCTGTCTGAGAAGCTAAAGAATGGCATGTTGTCACTCAACATTGATGAGGCCATGGACAAAAGTATGAATAAAATCCTAAATGTACTGGTCCAATTTTATGATGAGGATGCAGTGTGAAAACACAGCACCTTGCCAGCAAAAAAGTCAATATTGCGAATGCCTCAGCATTGATGTTGGAACTAAAAGATGTCCTGCAATCATATCGGAAGGAGTGGAGACAAGTCACCAATATTCTACTGGACAATTGCGCAATAATCAGGGGAAAGAAGTCTGGGCTTGAGACGCTACCTAGGAAGGAGAACCTGGTGTGGCCGG